AGAATCATGCTCTTTCCCTTCACAGGGTTTATCTTATTATTTCATAATTATGCGCTCACTTGAATGATTACTTGAATGATCTCTGGCTTCAGGAAGGGCAGAACAGTGTAAGATTTTGTTCTTCTTTCTATTCCCAGCTCCTAGCACAATTCCTGACAGATAGTAGCCACTCAGTTACTATTTGTTGAATGAATGAGTAAAAAAAGAAGAGAGAGAGTTGCTGATTTTGGGTGGGTTACAATGTGGGGGGGAGGCGGGGTGAGCAGTAGATGTACACAGGGTGGAAGTTGTACAAGAGGGCAACGACTGGAGAGACTTTGTCTGTAACCACCCTCAGAGAAGACGGACAAGGGGTGGGGGTTGGGGGAGTGGGCAGCAAAGTGGTCTATCAAAGTCACAGTATAACTGCCAAACCTCATCACAAGCAATCAAAATACTCAAGTGCCCGACTTTAATTATTCACTTTACAATCAGGAGGAAATATTGTGCATTTCAGCTCAGAGCAGATTCTTGGATTGGCTTATATTCTTCAGGGTCCTAAAGTTCACCTGCTGGAATCATTTCTTAAGAACGATTCTATTTAACCTTTGAAAATGAAGCATCTGTCTTTTAATGGAAAATGTACTTCTTATTGTAAAGATAGCACACAGTGTTCTTGGCATCATTGGTTTCCAGAAAAGGTAATTCAGATATTTCCCTATGTACCTACTTTATCTTGAACTCCTTATATCAACAAAGCAGACTGGATTGATAGCTAACTTTTTTTTAATGAAAAAAAAAAAAAATTAGAAACTGTCTGCCCATTCCAGAAGGGTCAGAAAAGGCAACCTGTACAAATATATTTGTCTATAAGATGTCTCAGGAGGCTTAGGAGTTCAGCGATTAAAGGGTCCCATACAACCAACCTCAAAGTCACTGTACATAAAAGCACAAGTCTACAACACATTCAAAAGTTCTGTGCCTCAAGGAGTATCAACAAAGTATGATTATCTAGTCAGTTAATTAACCAATTATTTTTACCTGGTACAAGTCTTTGTTGTGAGGGCACAGTGAAGACAGGTCTCTGCCTTAAGCATACTAGAACCCAACTGAGGTCTAAGATATGGAAAATGGTTTAACAGCAAAAGGTACAAAACAGGTTTCCCCCACTATCTGAAAGTCCAGTGTTCCGGTGACACGTAAACTGAAATGGTGTAAAGCAAAGAAGCAATTACTGTGAATTTATATGAGAAAATTTTGAGTGCTCCCAGATTTATAAAATAGCCTACCAAGTCATATCAAATAACACATAAACTCTAAAATAGCACTAACATTTAGTGTTCCCAGTTCAAAGCCATGGTGGGTTGGTGCTGAGTGTAGTTTTCAAGGAAGGATTCAGGGGTGCCCCTCTCCATGTTCTGGGTACTCGTGGCCTCATCAATGGCTTGCTGCAAAACAATCATTGAACGTTAGCTTCACTTTTTGCCTTTTTTTTTTTTTGTCATAAAAGTGACAATCTTTGGATTTCTGTCAGTTAGTGAAAACAGGTACTAATGTAGGTCTTTTGTAAAAGTGAAGCGGTATAAAGCAAACTTTCTGAAAGCAGGGGATGCCACAACATGGGCCAACAAGTTCGTATAATCATAACCAATAATACTGATGTAGCGTTGTTGTTGTTGTTAAGTGCCGTCGAGTCGGTTCTGACCCATAGCGACCCTATGTAGGGTTTCCGAGGAGCAGCTGGTGAGCTTGAACCACTGACCCTGCAGTTCAAACATCTTTGCAGTCTGGTGCATTAACCCACAGCGCCACACGTGGTTACGAATTGGGCTGCGAACTACAAGGTCAGCAGTTCGAAACTATCAGCTGCTCCACGGGAGAAAGATGAGGCTTTCTGCTCCAGTAAAGATTTACAGCGTCAGAAACCCTGTACAGGATCGCTATGAGTCAGAACCGACTTCACAGCACGTAACAACAACAATTGAACATATACTATAGTCCAAGTGCTTGACAAGTAGTTTCTTATTAAACCTTCACAGCCTTTTGAGGTAGATATAATTATGGTCTCCTTAAAGAAGTCGAATAACTTACCAAAGTCACATTGTTAAGGGAGAGTTCAAGCTCAAATAAGACTGATTCCAAAACCCATGTTCATTACTAGATGCCCTATTGTGTCCCTGGGGTTTGTAGAGTTGAGAAAAAGAGAGAGTGTGCTTGAAGTTGACATAGAAAGGGCAGGCTTGGTGATGAAGGGCAAAAGAAGGAGTAAGACCAGTATGTGGAGATGTGGTAGAAAGAACAATTCCACAGACAAGAAGGGGGAGAAAGGGTAAAGAGAACCGACTGGCCAACTACTTGAATACAGCCATTTTGGGTGAAGGTAGCGTGTAGTGTGTTGGGTATAGGTTGACTCAACATGCCTCACCCTCCTTCTTTCTTGTCAAATGCACAAAAAGAGTTGGAGAGGGCTCTGAGTGAGGGTTCAAGTGGGAAAGGAGGCTGGCTAGTCCTTTGTCTTTCTTCTATCCCTCTCATGATCCCAACAATTATCTTGGGCATTCCACAGTCCACATCACAAGTCTTTAAGGCCTATATCCCAAAAGGGGCAGTACCTTGGCCTGATAGAATCTGACTGGCTGGCTTCGGTGGGCTTCACCTCTACTCCATCTCCTGCTATGAACCAGACTGGAGGGGGTTATCATGTTTCCACCACACTCCTAACCATTGGACAGCCTACCTTCGAAGGAGAAATAGGGCCAGTTGAGTGCCATACTATAGTTCTGTTCTTGACTCTCACACCCTGCCAGACACATACATACTTCTACATAGCAATGCCCTCACTGAATAGCTTTTCATTCATTTATTCACTTATTCAGCAGGTAATTATTGAATGTCCATTTTGAGCCAGGAAATGTATTAGGTGTTAGGGGTGATAGAGTCAAACAAGGTGATGCCCCTAATCTCAAGAAAGTGACATTCTATGATTGTAGGTGATATATAGTCAGTCAACAGTAACTGTAGCAATCGTTGTTAGGACACACCACAAGCTACATGTGGGCAGCAAGTCAGCTTGTTTTGGTCTCCTCTCTACCTCCAGTGCTCATCATGGTGCCTGACACACACTGAGTGTTCAGTAAAGTTCACTAATCAAATGAAGATCTTACTGATGCTGAATCCCAACTCTACCTCCCTGTGGTCTCTCCTCATTGGTCCTAAGTCTCGCACACCTGTATGAAAAGAGAATGACAGTTCTTCAAATAGGTTACAGTATAATAGAGTTGGGAGGAACTAGACAATGTTGTTTACATCACCACCATCTGCTCCCAGTCACCATGTCTCCATAGTGAGGGTCTTTGTGAACCACTTGGACCTTTATGTTTTCCTAATTCCTTCTCATCCTCGAAGCTTCTCTAAAAAGACTCAGGCTTGTCAATGTTTCTATAAGAACCCAGAAGCCCACACCTTGATGCAGAACTTCTCATTGAGATGTAACTTGTTTTCTTATATTTCCTTGGAGGCTCTGCCCTCGGCACACCATGGTAACTAAAGGACAAGCAGATTGATACCACCTGGGTACTCTCTTCTGAGCCAAAAAACACACCTACAAGATTTGGAATGCATATCCTTGGATGGGGGTGCAGAGGGTATGTGTTCAGATCTTCTACCACTAAATGGGGCTTGTCCTCATATCCACGGATCACCACATGCCCCAAGTACACACTGTGCTGAAACAACAGTGGCCCTTTAAACTAGAGGGAGTTCTATCTGTCTTGTGGAGGTTCCAGCTGGTTGCCAAGGCAGGGAGCCACCCAGTCCTGAGATTCTGAGCTGTGGAAACAGCAATCTTGACTTCTGGTTGTGACCTTCCCACACCATAAAGTCATCCTGTTGGCCTTGGGGCCCTGGGGAGTCATAGCTACTCTGAGTGAAAGTAAGAAACACCACGAGTGAAGAGGTGTACATACAGAAAGTGGGATCTGAGAAGTGGTTCTGCATTTAGAGGCTGTCGTTGAGCTTTGAAGCTAAACAGGCATCTGAGATGATAGGAAAGGGCAAGTGCTGTGATGGGGTAACTAGGTAGTGTGGCGTAACTGCCCCTCTAAGCAGGCAAGCTAGGTAAGGTCCAGGTCCAGAGTCCTGAAGGAAGTCTCTGGCTCTCCAATCCTTCAGCCAGAAAACACCTCAGGCATCCTCTGGTTCAAGTACCTCATTTTACAAATGCAAAAACAGACATTCTGGGGCTAACTCAAAGTATTCCAACTGGGTAGTGACAGAATAGGGTTAGATCCTGGTATCCTGATTCACGATCTCCAGTTCTTTTCTCATCACCCTGCCCACTCCCAGCAATGGGTGCCAGCAAAATTCTTAGCCTACAAATCCTGGAAATCTCTCTTTACCATGACTTCTGCTTGGCAGGCAGGAGTGGACTTTTCTGATTCTAGTGGTAGCCTTTTAAATCCTCCAGGTCCAGCTGTGACCCAGTCCCCATCCATCCCCCTCCTAGGAAAGATGCAGGGAGTCTTCAGTGGTTTGTGAAGCCGTGGGGCCTTTGGGAGGAACGATGGGCAGACTGCCTAGGAACTGTGGGCACGTGCTTTGGCCTCTGCACAGTGTATGGGGGATGAGGGGGTGGAATCCAGCGACTTCCCTGGCCATAAGAATTCCTGCTCTCCTCTTCAGCCTCCCCCTCCCACTGCCTTTCTGGGCCAGGGCAATGACCACTGGCAGGGTAGCAGCAGGAAAGGGAGGGAGAGGCAGATTTGTTGGTTTGCTCCACCAAGCACTGCCCGCCCCTCCTCCACGAGCTGTCTCTCTCCCCCTGTCTGTCGGCCTGTCCCTTTGGGCCGTTCAGGCGCCACCACTACTGTCCCCAACCCGCCCCGCCAGGAGGGCCTAAAAACGGCGTGAGTCACGCCGCTGCCACCAGCCCACGGTGTGCCTGGGACGTATAAAGGCTGCTCAGGCAGGCGGCTGCAGAACTCTGCCCTGCTCTGGTCTGCCCTGCCGGAGGCGCTCAGAGTATGGCCCGAGGCGCGCAGCGAGGCCGCGGGGACTCGGGCTGGGGGCTGCGTGGAGCCCTGGCGGCGGTGGCGCTGCTTTCCGCGCTCAATGCGGTGGGTACAGTGTTTGCGCTGTGCCAATGGCGCGGGCTGAGCGCAGCGCTACGGGCGCTAGAGGCGGAGCGGGGCCGGGAACAGCGCGAGGACAGCGCCCTACACGCCTTTCTGGCTGAACTGAACCGCGCACCGCGCGGGGCCCCCACGCCTCCGCAGGACTCGGCAAGCGCAGCGCGCAACAAGCGCAGCCACGGCGTGGAGCCAGTGCGGCACATCCGCGCGGAGAGCCAGGACATGCTGATGATGATGACCTACTCCATGGTGCCGGTAGGCGGGGACTCAGCTCCCGGTAGCGCCCCCTCCGGAATAAGCGGCGGTGATGAGTAGGGAGAGAGGGCGTCTGATGGCCTCTTCACACCTGGCAAGCCAGAGAATGTCATGGAGAATAGGCCCAGGGTCAGAGAGGTGTAGTTGGGAGGGGGTGGGTGCAGTTGCCCTCTCGCATAAGTCCAAGAGGACGCCAGACGATGTGGCCCAGTGAATCACTCCCCTCCCTCACAGTCAGCGAGGCCCTGGCGAGGGGAACCACAGCGCAAACGAGCCCCTGGGTGCTAGTTACCCTCGCTATGTCTCTGCCCTATGTCTAAGCCCGGCACCCTCGGGTAAATTTGCTCTTCTGTTGATTGAGGATGGTGAGTGAGGTGAAGGGCACAATTCCTTTCCACCCCTGACATTCTTTGGTAACTTGACATTGCAGGTTAATGAGGGAGGTGGACAGCGTTTTCATGGACTTACTTTGCCAGAAGTCCTGGTAACACTGTGAGCTAGGCGTTGGACTGCTAAGCTCAAGGTTGGCAGTTCAAACCCAGTAGCTACTCCGTGGAAGAAAAATGAGGTTGTCTGGTGCCATAAAGAGCTACAATCTTGGAAATCCTATATAGGAAATCCTATATAGGCATCACAGTGGATCAGAATTGACTTGATGATGGTGTGCCTGGGTTTTGTTTTTGTTTTAATTTTCCTTCCTAACTTTTGGCAAAAGTTTTTGCCTGCCTGTGCCCCTACCATTTGCCTGCGGCTGGAATCCTCAGAGAGGACAAGACGGAGGCGGCATTTCTGAAAGAGAACAGACTTCTTCAGTAAAGGGATTCTGACTTTTCACCTTGCCTCCATTTATCCGCAGAAGATTGGTGACCACCGTTAGGTCTTTAAGTGAAAACTATCAGCCCTCATTTCCCAACCTACATAGGGCCTAGATGCTGAGCGTTTCTCCTGGATCTAAAAAGTTTCTCCATGTGGGAGAAACCAGTACAGAAGAATTTTCTTAAAATGTAGTGCCAAAGCTGAGGTTCTTAATATGGGGCCTGCTGATTGCTCCCCACATGAACTCTAGGGAGTACGGAATCCAGAAATTGCCAGGAATATTGTTTGTGTGTGTGTGTGTCTGGAGAGCAAGTCCATAGTGCCCATTAGATTCTCATAGGGCCCCTCTTACACACACACACACACACCAATAGAAAAGTTTAAGAAATACTCCTCTAAATAAAGTCTTTAAAAGCAAGCCTGAAAAATCCTTTTTCCCCAGTCTTAAGATTCTGTGCTTTGCTGATTTGAACTCAATAATGACTTAATGATTGCATAGAGGTCACATTGCAGTTCCCCATTCCATTTGACTATCCATTACAATTGCTATGGTCATATTTCACTTTATAAGTAGAAGGATTTTAGTTTTGTCCCAAGTCAAATGTGAGCTGTACTTTGAAGATAAAATCTACTTAGAGCTTCTGTTATCAGATAAGTTTTTAAAAAATATCTTATGTGAGATGCTTTTTAAAACTACATGGAAGTCTATAACGTTTGTCGTCAAAGTACCATCAAGTCGGTTCCTATTTATAGCCACCATGTATAGAGTTTCCCAGGAGCAGCTGGTGGGTTTGAACCACTGATCTTATGGCTAGCAGTCCAGTGCTTATCCTACAGCACCACGCCAAGACTCCTGGAAGTACTATACACTTCAAATATTTCTTTTGCGAGACATCAAGGTTTTCAAGCCCAGTTTCATTTGTTCCACATGATATCATTTTAAAATCTGGGCCCACGCAAACATTTCAGAAATGACCAAAGTAAAATAAGATCTCCTTAAGGAAATATCCTCTTCCCCTCTCTTGGCTACTTCCCCTGAATTTTGAAACCATTAAAGAGGACTGCATCTGAGTACCAACATGGGTGGTAAATGCGTATATATCCAAATAGCAACCTACTGCATCACTAAAACAGCAAAGGAGACTCGGGTGTGTCGATCTGAAGGATAGAGTTGACTTTCTAGGTGAGCTAGAAGTGCCGCCACTGGCTCTAGAACAGGTGACAGTGTGGACACATCACATTTGTCAGGCTGGGAGGCACTCATAGGAGTCCTAGTGGCACAGTGGGTTAAGTGTTGCTCTGCTAACCACAAGGTTGGCATAACCACTCTGTGGGAGAAGATGAAGCTATTTGTTCCATGAACATTTGCAGTCTTGGAAACCCAAATGAGCAGTTACTTCTGCTCTGTCCTAACAGGTTGCACTAACAGGTTGCATTAACTCCACCACAGGTTTTTATATTGGTTTTTTTTTGAGGCACTTGTAGATTATCACCAACTATTCTTCACCTGCAATGGTTATATATCATTTTCTTTTTGAAATTTATTTTTAATAACTTGATTAGCAGACAGATGACTAGACTGTAGAAAAATAAGAGTAAATCATTTTATCAGTATTCAGATCCAAAGTAGAGGGGCAGAGAAAAAGAGGAAGACCCCCAGCAAGATGAATTGGCAAAGTGGCAGCATCAATGGGCCCAAGCATGGCAACAATTGTGAGGTTGGCCCAGGACCGGGCAATTTTTCATTCTGTTGTGCATAGGGTCACTAGGAGTCAGTACTAACTCAATGGCACCTAACAACAACAATATTCTTTACCTGCAATGGTTATATATCTTTTTCTTTTTAAAATTTAATTTTTAATAACTTGATTAGCAGATGACTAGACTGTAGAAAAATAATAATAAATCATTTTATCAGTATTCAGATCCAAAGTCATTTGATAAAAGGAAAAACACTGAAGGGAAAAGAAAAAAACTAAGGAATTTCTTTTCATCTGTTTTCTTTAAAATATATAATTCATTTTATTTTTATTATTGTTGCGAATATGCACAGCAAAACATACACCAGTTCGTCAGTTTCTACATGAATTCAGGGACATTGCTTATATATATTCTGTGATTTCTGCAACCATTCTCATCCTCCTTTTCCAAATTTTTCCTCCTCCATTAACATAAACTCACCGCCAGTGTAATCTTTCTAGTTGCTGTGGTCAACATGAGCCCATACATTGTGCTTGTTAAGTACTGTCAATTCACAATGACCCTGTATAGGATTTCTAAGGCTGTAAATCTTTGCAGGAGCAGAAAGCCTCATCTTTCTCCTGTAAAGTGACAGGTGGCCTCAAATCTCTGACCTTGTGTTTCGCAGCCCAGTGCTTATACTACAGAGCCACCACGCTCCACGATTCCTTATAGAGAAATCATAAAAGAGTACAATGCTCAAGGCAGACATTCCTTACTAGTTAAATTAAACTAATGTTAGATTTTAAGAAGACTTCAGGATATATTTTGGGGTACGATTTAAAGATGATCTCCGAGCAATGATATCAGGTATTCAGCCAGCTTCCATGTCTCCAAAACTCTGTATGTCATGAGAATTTGAAATTCTGTTCTTGATTTTTACCCCTTCAGTCAGGATGCTTGTATAGAATCTTGGATCAAAATGTTCAATAATGATAGCCAGACACCATACAGTTCTTCTGATCCTAGGACAAAAAAGATAGTTGTTCATGGAGAATGATTCTGTTTTGACAGAGGAAATTTGCATACAGGCCACGAAGAGGCAACCATAATCAACCATCAAAAGGCTTTGCACTTGGGAGTGGTTCTCAAACTTTAGTAGACTTAGGGATCACTGGGGAGTGCATTGAAAATGCAGATTCCAGGGTACCACGCTCAGACCTACAAAATGAAAATCCCTAAGGATTGGGCCCCCAAGTCTGCTTTCTTGACAAGTTCCCTGGCCCCTGTGTTGCACCCTCTATCTGAGCCCATGAGTTTGATGCAGAAGGTTCAGGGACCATACTTTGAGAAACAATATTCTAGATCACTGATTCTCTTAAACTTAACATGCTCATGAATCTCTTGAGGATCTTTTTTAGAAATGTAGATTCTGATTCAGAAGGACTGAGGTGGGGTCTCAGATTCTGCATTTCTAACAAGCTCCCATTGATACTTATGCTGCTGGGCAGAGGGATACTCTTTGAGTAACAATGTGCAGCACGCATGCTGGAATCAGGTCCTGGATAGTTGTTGTTAAGTGCCCTTGAGAGTGTTACAACTCATAGCAACTCTGTATAGGGTTACCAAGAAGCAGCTGGTGGGTTTGAACTGCTGACCTTGTGATTAGCAGTCCAGTGCTAATCCTTCCACATCACCCTGAGACAGATAGGTGGTGGTGTGCTGTTGAGCCAGTTCTGACTCACAGAGACCCTATCTACATAGGGTTTCCAAGGCTGTGAATCTGTACATCTCCTGTGGAGTAGCTGGTAGAGTCTAACGTCTGACCTTGCAGTTAGCAGCCCAACCTGGACTTCTTAAAATGGATGTTGTTTTAAAGTTTTGACTCTTAGCGATCCTGTACCCACTCCTTTGGGTTTCCAAGGCTGCAAATTGCAGCTAGCAGTCCAATGCTTATCCTACAATACCACATAAAATGGGAGAAAAATGTGGAACCGAATTCAAAAGTATAAAAAAGACCAGGCTTACTCATTGGATAAATGCTGGTGGAGCCCTCAAGTTTATGACCCTCAATCACAGTCAGATCTGCAAACGGGACTCACCTTGTGGTTCAGTTTTCACCCACAAAATAGGTCTACAGGGGAACAATAACACTAGTGAGGAACACACACCTTAGAATCATCAATCAGCATTTTCCCAAGGGCAGAGTTTAGAAGTATTAGGAAAGAAGGAGGAATGGAAAGAACTATAGGGGGAGGGTGGGATCAGTAATGTTTCATTGTGGGGACTGCAATCAATGAGATGAAACAAAATATGTCTGAATTGTTGAATGGAAAACTGATCTGTTCTATAAACCTTCACCCAATTCACAATAAAAAATCAGAAGAAAAAAAAAAAAAATCACCCGTGTCTGGATCCCACTACCAGAGATTGTGAATTAATTGGCTGGGGTGCAGCCTGTGGTGCTCACTCACCAGCTGGAAGAACCTTGGCATGCCTTCCTG